AAATCGTTGAAAAAATCGCCGATATCGCAAACAGCGTGCTGCAGCATTAATTGGAACCACTTTGGGCTAGCATCGCCTAGTCAACTAATGCGCCCCACCGGGTACAGACTATAGTGCCCGTAAAGGATGGCATAACCAATCTGCTTTCCACGGGCACTTATGGACGAAATAGATTCACACAAATGAGAAGTACAACGTTTGAGCATAAAAGCAACATCGCAAGATAACACACTGTTCGCGTAGTCACGCCCTATTTGCCGTTACCACACAGGGTTCGTTGGCGCTGTTAAAAATTGAATTAAACCTTGCGCACTCGGGACGACAATAAAGTTAGAGAGTTAGCAAAACATTGACAGACCCCGTCATATCCAGTCTAGTAAGGACCAGTGGCAACGGTCAATCAATGCCAAAAGCAGTGACTTGGAAAAAGCTGTCCGTCAAATACCAGCGACTGAGTTCAGTAGCTAAAATATTGCAAGCTATTAAAATTAGATGACCGAAGCTCAGGGATCATGTCCTTTGTAGACATTGAGGTGGAAGTCAGGGTGACCTCATCACGAAAAGGTGAATCGATTAAGCGACGGACAGCAAATCCAAGTGTCATCAGCGGAACGCGCAAAGCAGTTTCCGCTAGCGTTCACCCACCATCGATTTTAGCCTCCTACGTAAACCCCGTTGAATTTTTTACATCATTCCTATCTGAGGGCTGATGCCTGTCGGTGGAGGTTAATTGATAGAGAAACAAAGCTCTCACCACGCGTAGTCAGGAAATCAACGGAGACGTCACTACCAATTACACACAACCGCAAACTGACAAAATATTCTTAGATGTTTTCACAGTTTCCTTAACTAGTCCTCACCTTTAATGCCATTCTCCCGGTAGCAATTAACATCACGCGCTAAATCCAAACTGGTGGTTCGCCAGTCTCCGCTTGGCCAAGACGTTTTGCCTCTGATAAACTGAAAGTTGACAAGGCAGAATTCGAGCATTTACTAGAACTTTGCATTGTTCGCACTTCCAAAAGTCGTTGAGCCTCATTTCAGGGTGGTGTTAAAAAGAGCGGCAACTGGCGATCACATGGCAATATCGGGTATTGAACAAGTACACGTACCCAGACAAATACCTTATTGCGCACATCCAAAATCTTACTACCTGTTTAGGATGTAAGTTCATGTTTGGCATAATCGATCCAACCAGAGCCTATCATCAGATTTTTGTAGAGGAATACGATATTCCCAAGATCGCCGTCAATGTGGCACAATAGCTGAGCTGTTTTCCACCTATAGTTAAGGTGTATAATGATGATGATGGTGAAGATCGCCGTCATCACACCTGGTCACTACGAGTTTTGCGGACGTCCCCTGGCTTAAAAAAATAACGCACAAACTTTCCGAAGGTTTATCCATGGCGCCATAAGTGGTCTGGATCCCGTGTGTCCATATATGGACGACATTCTAGTAGCCAGCAGTCAAGACAGAGTAGCTGGAACACTTACGAGTGAGACTCCAGCGTTGTTGTCATCGCGGAATTAGTGTCAATCCAGCTAGGTAAAGAGTCGGTAGATTTTTCGGATTTCAGTTTCCGGTACCGCAGATGCAAGTAAATACTTTTCTGAGCCATCATCTTTTAAGCAACTCAGAAACCTTCTTGTCGTTGCATTCCTAGATGTGCAAAGATAATGCAACCTCTGACAGACAGACTTACTTCGTGATGATCAGTGTACGTTTGCTTTCACTAACTCTGCTCGCGCAGCGTTCGAACAACTCCAGGAAGCCATTGCAATCACTGTTATTATGGCACATCCAGAGCCAAACACCCCCACTCTCTTGCTACGGATGCCTGGAAGTAAGCAGTTGCAGTAGCCCTACAGTTTTGGTAGCCCCTAGGTTTCGTCAAAACGACTGCAACCAATCGAAAACCGTTACAGCACCTTCGGAAGAGAATGTTGGCAAATTACCCAGCAACTCGCTATTTTCCATCCTCAATCCAGGACAGCGACATCAGTCTTAACTGATCACGAACGTTTGGATTAGGTCATAGTCTTATCATCTGACAAATACACTACCTAGACTGTTTCACAGTTCATCTGATGTAGAGCACGTCTCAGGTGTACAAAACGTTGCCGTAGACTACTTATCCAAAGTGAATTTCATTACACCTGGTCATAACATCGATCTAGTTGCAATGGTCGATGCACAACAAATCGATCTGGACGGTGACAAACTTCGCATGTCCAATTCCGCCCACATCCGTTACCATGTTTGGAAGAAATTATCCCTTGCGATGTCTCGAAAAACAACCCTCGTCCTCTACAGGTCATTGCAAAGCAGCTCGCATCCCGTACACGTAGTTTCGCTCCTACCAGCACCCGTCTGCAAAGCCAGATAACTTGTGTGCCATCGGACCTCCAAAATAGTTGGTACGTTTTCGTACGAGTTGACGAAGTTAAACGCTTCCTCCGGCTCCACCATACGAAGGACCATTCAGAGTAGTGCGATGGAATGCAATATATTTGTCATCGATAGCAACAGGAGGCGCGAATCGGTCGTTTAAAAGTTGCCTATAACGACAGCAACAATGCCCGTACAAAGATGACTGTTCCATCGATAAAGATGCTCAATCCTAGCAGCTCAGCGAAGTCCGCTGAGGTTCCCATCACACTCAAATTTGGACTTGGTTGGATTGCTACAAGCAACCTCTATTGAGATCTCGGTTCAATTGAGGTGGACCTCGATCATTCCGATCACAAGGACCGTATGTGAAATGGAAATATTTTGGTGTTGCTCATGCCAAGTTTGGCACCTCACGATAGCGGGTTCTTCATGGTTTGGACACCTCAAGTGGAGATAGCCTGAGCTCAAGTGGAAATCAGAGTTTAGCGGTTCACGGCTGACGCCATAAAAACTATGCCACTGAGATCCACGAGTAATGCTTGGTACAGCGAAGACGAATCCAAAGTTGGACTTGGAGAATCCGCTGTGTGGTTGGGTTCATACAAGCAACCTCTATTGAGACCTCGGTCACGTTATCCAGTGCATCGAGAGCGACTTAGTCAGGTCAATAAGTGTATTCGGCTAGTCGCTCTGTCCAAACAGTCCACTTTCGAAAATAACCAAACGATTCCGAAATGTTTTGAAATAAAAGATGCCAAAGCGTTTCGAAAGCTATAAAAATCGTTTACGGTTATTTTGGACTCGCCGCTAACCGATGCCACACACCCATGTCACCAGTGTTTTGCATATATGCTTATGAATTAGATCACACGCATACGATGAAGTCAAACACCTTAGCCCATTCAACATTGTCCGTCGTAGTACCACTTGAACAGTGTTTTCAAACAATTTGCGTTTCGACACTGTAGGGAGGACACGGGTGGGAGCCCGCTAGGATCCGTTCGCGCTAATAATCCCACAGCATCTGCATCGGGTGCTGCTCGCGCTAAAACTTACCAACCGGTGTGACGACTTGGTCTCGCAGTAGGATGGCTGGCGAAAGATAGTCATGAGGTAGATCGAAGGACTGCTTACATTATCCCTTCTGGGAGGGTAATGTTTGTCTGACCCGTAAGCACCACACACACACGCGCGGCGCAACGGTAGGATTCAATACGCCGCTCCAGTTCGCGGTATCCAGACAACTCCCCCTAGTCAGCGCGCGCAATAACGGTGTTGCGTATTAAGCCAATGCACTGAACAGTTGCACACCGTCAATACACATTCGCCCGTCACTCGCGTGCCTTCCCCTCAACTATCGGGAACGATGCACAACAGTAGCCAGACGGATACGGCAAACCTATTAGTGTGAGTCGAATACATCCGTACTGGAAAGTCGGTCCGCAGCCCGAAGGACGAAATAGAACGTGCGCGCGTAGCAGCTAACCACTTACTGGTGGCTTTCTATTTTCCAGCGGCTAAAATAGTCTAAACGATGAACTAATGAGACAAGGAAGCTGTGTTCAAGATCGATACACAGGTACATTCGTGACAGATGTGCATGTTGAGAGTGTCATCCGATACCGTATCAATCGTGGTTCCCATCTACATGCCCCCCGGTCTTACTCCTTCAGGTTTAGGTTAGATGGAGTTGTGGGTATTGCAGCAAAAGCAATACGTTTCCTCAGTAGGCACAGGCGTCTTGTGACTATTCGCATTCTCAGTGACAAGGTAAAACCGGAAACGGATACCATCAAACCTGTAGCTTCAGACATAATAAGAGATCGCAACGAAAGGCACTGACGGCGAATTGTGTGTCATATCTTAGCAGGACTGTCCGAATGGAGTACATAACGAATAGGTTACCTGGAGGAAAAAGCAGATTAAAAATTAAAGAGTTACAGAAAATGTCCTTCCGATGCCATTACAATCAGCAGTTTACGATCTTACAATGTTAGAAAGCGGTGAACACATCGGTCCTAAATTTTGGCTTGGAAAATGCAGTCCATATTTGCAAACATTTATGACTGCATAGTAGCGAAACAGCATTACAGAGTAGATAATTTATGAAACTGCTGTTAGTGGTAAAAATGCCAGAACGCAATTATCAGGGCAGTCGATGTATGCAAATGGCTTCGAGACACCAAGTGAACACGTACAGCGCATTCTGGCCTATCCACCATCACATTTGGGCATTCGGATATCATTTGCTCGCAACTTGGTTAGTCGGTACTCTGTTACAAAAATAAAACGAGAGTCCAGAGCCTCATAATCTCAGGCGAAGACATACCAGTGGCTACACTGATGGCCGCACCATCTCATCAGTCCTACTCAACGCAGAGCAAGTCAAATAGCCGCAATGGTATGACCGGTTAGCACAATGATCAAAGTATTCTCAACGGGAATTTTCGCTTTATTTGCTCACATTGTAGTTCACTACCTTGGGGACAAAGCATTGAAAACGAGATTGATCATCAACTTTGAATTCCGGTACCTATCTTGAGAGTCGACAGCTGTAGATCAAACGAGAAGTGCGGGGTTACATCACGACTTCACGAGAGGAAGATGCGGTAAATGCACTTTTATGAACCAGAATAGCGAAAAAACCTGAGACATGGCTTAGGCCAACACACTGGATACCAGCAAAAAAAACACGGAAATTTCGCCACAAAGTGGGCCGAGTGAGGTAGCACACAGTAAAGATCAATGGCAACTGAGAAGTAATACTATTGGTGAGGTCGTATAGATATGCGACAACAAATCGGTCTCGTATCAGCGAACATCACATCCAAAAGGAACGTTATCGGTAGTGTTGGGCCATGCCTCACTTCGGGCGAAACCCGATGATAGTGGTCAGACCTGGCCATCAATTTGGCTGCGGTTGCGTACAACGCTCGGAGATTGTTTGTTCGGTGGTGTCGATGTGTGTTGCAGCATACTGACTTAACGCGCATGCTAGCCGCCGATTGATCTGTGGTGGGCTATGGCAGCCACTTCCTTGAGGACTTGGAAAACGTCGCAATAATCCGTCCACATGTGATGTGGAACATGAGGCGCGTTGTCTTAAAGTGAAGATTAGTGATCTTGAGAAAAATACGGATGTGGACTTAGACATCCGCCATTGACATGATGTGCGTTGGCTGCTCCGCAGTGACTGAGTGACGCCAACAGACAGGAATGACTTCTTGAAGTAAGTATATGACATCATCCGGCCGAAAGGTTAAATACCTAAATAAGCAGCTATGGGAAGTGCAGGTGATGCGTGTAAGTGATAAGCGTGGAATGCATCGTGTGAGAAAAGCTGCCAGAGCGTGCAATGCACGCAAACAACACGATGGAGAGAAGGGGCCCAATTACAGGGAATACATTCACCATTAATACCACTCCACGGCACGAGGATTGATCGCATTCTGTCGGTAGAATGAGTAGAGGCCACCATGTTTGAACAGATTTGGGAAGGTACCGAACGTTTGGACGTGATGCGTCGTTAGATATCGACGGATCAATCGGGATTTGACAGGTGGATCGTACTGATCCAGCTCTGTGCAGGAGAGAGTGTGGAGGAAATGACCCAACCCACGAGCCAATCGGACTGAGAGTAAAAATGAGGAACCGGTGGAATGAGACGATGGATCGTCTGACACAAAAATGGACTGAAAAGTGAACAATTTGTGCCATAAAAGGAGCCACCAAGACCTACCAAACAGACTTGCAATGAGGGTACACACGAAAAAAGTACTGGTCAAAAGTAGGCAATTGTAGCGAAAAAGGAAGGGTCGATACCAGCGACGCAAACAGAGGCCGAATGACACAAATGTCAAGAAAGCACCAGAGGCGAAAAGCTCGAGTAAGCTCCGGAAATCGTAAATGCTAAATTGCAGCTGATCGTAATACATATGAAGCTGCGTGAAGTGCTCTGACGAACTACTGCCAGCCTTGGGAGAAGAGATATTTTTTTGAGAGTTAAAGTGTTGAAAAAGTGTCCACAGCTGATTCAGAGCGTACTCCTCAATCATCATATCATCCTCGAATAAGACGATGTAGCTTGTGTTTGAGGAGACAGCCGACTGTAGCAGACAACTTCCGGAATCGAGCACGGTGCGACAAGCCAGTGAGAGGTTATCCATTAATCGTAACCGCGGTTTCACTGAGCCCTTCGGAAGCAGAGACGTAACCTCGATAAGCTCGGAAAAATCATCCAACCGATCTTCAGTGGGGCACAAAGTGATGTTAATGAACGAGAATCGTCTACCGTACGTGGTAAGGTCATATTCGATCGCACTCAACAGGCGTGTAAGCGACTCAATGCAGTAGGATGGCTCATATGAGTCGATTTGGTGACGTCTCCTATTTGGAAAGAGGATAGCAAATGTGACACCAGGCAGAGAAGTGAATCCGGTATGGTGTGGCAGTGTGTAACGGAATGGAAGAAAATCGCCACGATGTTTCCATTCGTTGATTTTCGTTAGCGACTTAGCAAGACGCAGCTCCTCACCGTCCCTGATAGCTGATGCATCAGAGTTGTCACTGTCGTGAAACAGGGCGACGGAAAGCAGTTTGATCGCATAAATGCACAAGGCCACCCACGAGATAATGCAGAGAGGTAAAAGGAACGGAAGACGTCGGAAAATCCGTGAGCCAAAAAGTAGTATGGGGAATCCATGACGAGTATGCACCATCATGAAGCCTAAAATGGAAAAGAATAAAATGACGAATTGGAACATGATACCGAAGCATCCATGGAAGCGGGATTAAAGCGGTAGGACTTGAGAATCGAAAAGGGCTAACGTGGTTGAAACTTTAATTGGCACAAAAATCTACCTCGCTTCACGACTGAATAGACTGCGCAGCAACGTTACGTTTGAGTACAACAAACGGACAGAGGTCTTGACCCAAAGGGCCTAGGGTAATATTCGCAGTAATCCACCCAGATGTGATAGTTGGTAGTCATGCGATAAGATGAGCGAATTGTAGCCTTCGAAACTGCGAGAGATAACTGATATATATGCGGATACATCAACAATATGCCGGCACACCGTACCAACGCTTTGTTGCTATGCGAGCATTACCAGTCGTGCGTGGACTGCGTATACAGTGAGGTCGATTCGAGTAGGTGACCACCGGATTACAAGCGCATAATCCTCTTGGTTGCCGACCGATCCATAGGTGGAGACATAGCAGAAAAAACACAAAACAGGGATTTAAGACCAACAAGTTTTCAAACTCAATGCTCCGCTCGTAGGCACATGGATGTTTTCTGCCACATGCGAGTAGGTCGAAAGCACAAGAAGCGAGGACTCGTGACAAAGGCGCTCCGCGGGTGTGAGCGAGAAGACAAAATTAAAAGAGTTCGATTCAGTTTCTCGAATACGATTATTGCACCGAGCGTCGGTGGATCCAGTTACCATAATACAAGTAAATCTTCAGATCAAGAGTCCGAGGTGGAGGAGCGAAGGCAAGAGTGCCAATGACTCCGTCAGGACTGCGGCGTATCTGATAAGACCGGTCCCGAGAACTTATTCAAGAAGATGACAAGCACCTACCTATCACAATTGGACTCTAACCGCAAGTACGTATTTCAACTCGTAGCGAATAAGCAAGAAGACGCGGCAGTCTGGCGCACAGTGTACTGAACACTAACGGTTTACATGAGAGCACGGAACGTTAGGGTATGTCCTTGAGTGCGTGTGTGCGTGCTTATCTACGTGTGTGTGTAGGGCCAATCAGATTCACGGTCATAGTGAGCGATCATTGGTTGAACACGTAACACTACCCTACTCGACCGCTCAGTGAGTTTCTTCATGTTATTTGCCGTATCACTGACCGGTCACATAGAAATTTCACCCAAATAGGCATAGTATTGAAAATAATGTGCATGAAGGCATACGAAGCACATGACCGACCGATCGACAGGAAGGTCTGTTGCCAGATAACATATGGCGAACTTCTACATTACTGTCTATCAGAAAGTAAAATTTCCAAGAAAGAAGCTTTACTTCAACGGGAAAACGATTTGAGCCAATGGTGTACAGCCAAAGCAACAAGTCGTTCCCATAACATTCGCGTCACATGACATGTGTATCTACCTTCCCACCGGCTAGCGAAATTGAACTACCCAACATGGCAGTTGACATGTCTGTTCTGAAAAGTGAACATTCCTGAGTTGACCTAAATGTCCATCCACACAACGTGTACTTCAAAATGACCCTCAACATCGTTCATTAGACTGTTGTGCCAAGCGTTGCCCGTGACCCGGTGGCTTAGGGATAGCGGACACAACTAACATCCCGATGGTCCCGGGTTCGATGCCTGCTAACTCTATCTGATGAGATGTAATAACATCGAAACGCGACATAGTAGTGCAGTGTTTTCGGGCGGACAACACCTAATGTCCATTTGTTTTAAAATACCTGTGCTCTTCTCCGGTAACAGCTTATTAACAAATGTTGGCCTCCAGGCGTTGACTTCTGATTTTGACTGGGATTCCGTGTTAGAAGAGGACGATATCAGTTCAACCGGAACCGTAGACAAAGAGGCACATCTAGCAATTACCAACACTGCAATCACACTAGACATGAGTAACAGTTCATGGGCAGCGGCAGTCAAATATAATAAGTATCCTAAGGTCCTATGCAAGCAGTGCCCCCATCTATTATCCATAACATAACACTGGTCGCAATGCAGTGTTGCGAACTCTTACCCTTAACACCTCGATCACATCTTGCTGTTTCTACAAGTGACCGATAATTCGAAAAGCCACACAGGCATTAGTGATGTGTGCCATAGCGAAGCGATCGCTTGCGGTTATACATCTATGCAAATAAGTCGATGATAATGAGAACTGGTGGTGGTGGTGGTGGGTCAGCCCAGCCATACAACAGCATTTCGCGCTTTGAAGGTACACAACAAGTATTGGGCCTATTTAGATAGCGTCTGTGCCAGACCCAGAGAGAACTACGTCATATATATACAAATTCTTGGAAGGTACTTGGAACCGATCGAGTAGTCATGAGTTCGGATAGGTTTGGAAACAATCGGTTTGGTATAGTAGTTTGGTAACATAAAGGCTTCGTCAGACCAGGTGAATCAGTGTGCAATTGGTGTGGGATTTTATAGCGAACAGGGGCGATAACCGCATTACCAGAGTCTTGAGCCATGAGTCATTACAGGAAACAGTTCGGGATATCACCTCAGGTGGTTCGATCACAGTGAGAATAGTCCAGGTGTTCCTTTGTGCGTCATGACATTGACGGATAAGCCCATAGTGTTGACAATGGGAGTCGGTTTGCACTTCCCAATCTGATCTACGCATCGATGCTCGTCAAGCTGGTAGGCTTAAGACGACCCACCACGCATTAGGGAGTTCTACCCCCTGCATTCTATTCACGCAGTCGTCAGATTTGGCAATTTCCACCGCCTCGGCAATCAACCGCTGAGTGGTTGATCGGATACCCTTCCTAATGACCTCTACGTTTTCGAGGTCTATCTGGTGACCCGTATCTAATGCATGCACGGCTACGGCCGAGTTTCTTATTATTGCCTGATACTCAAACTCGTTTCTTGGTAGTCTTGCAATGCGTCTCCCATGCTCAGAAATTCGTGTGCGTAATTCTCTCGCTGTTTGGCCTATGTACACATGTGCACAGTCCTTACATTTAATTTTATAAACACAGTTAGTCGTCCTATCCTTGGGAAGCGGGTCCTCCAGGTGTACCAGCGCCGACCAGCTTGACGAGCATCGATGCGTAGATCAGATTGGGAAGTGCAAACCGACTCCCATTGTCAACACTATGGGCTTATCCGTCAATGTCATGACGCACAAAGGAACACCTGGACTATTCTCACTGTGATCGAACCACCTGAGGTGATATCCCGAACTGTTTCCTGTAATGACTCATGGCTCAAGACTCTGGTAATGCGGTTATCGCCCCCTGTTCGCTATAAAATCCCACACCAATTGCACACTGATTCACCTGGTCTGACGAAGCCTTTATGTTAAAGGCGAAACATTACCAAACTACTATACCAAACCGATTGTTTCCAAACCTCTATGAACTTACGTCATATATATGTTCAAGACGTTACATTTGACCGTCCAAAAGAAACTGCAATGGGCACGAGAGTCAACTGTGGTCAAGAAAGGAGCTCGCATCTCATGTGTCAATCATTGAGAAGTGCGTCTCCAGGTGGTTGCTATCTATTCCGTTTCGTAGACTATCCCAATACGTTAATCATACTACCGTGAAGAACAAGCTGATTTCAGTTTTAGCCGTGGAACAAACTGCCAACTGCTCGAGCACCACTGCCTGCAGCGCAGGCCTACTATCATCGCATTGCCAGACATACGAATTGAATTCAACTAGACCTGCTTTATGACGTTGCTTGCCAAAGAACGGGGTTCCGAAAAAGCATACTGCCAACCTATGCGCACTTTGCTTTCATATCTGCGGTAGAGTGAGAGTCTGCGGCAAGTTCTCTTCGCAAAACGTTGTCAATAGCGGTGTGCAATAAGGCTGTCTTATATCCTCCTTCCTCTTTAACTTTGCAATCCGATGTCCTATCAAGAGTGTTGCCAGAAGGGGCAGTGGTTTTCAGCTCCAAAGCACGCTCAGACCAACAAACCTCGCGATCCTTGTGTAGCCTTTTCATGAGTTCAAAGTGATGACATTAAGCGTCGCGTCCTTGGGAATGCGAGTATTATCATCAACAAGCTGGTTGTGCTACGCCACTTGAGATATCCCAAGCACGTCCTACACATGGCGCTTCAGCGTTGGTCACTGTAAACCGTTCTCCTTGTCGCAAAACTTGATTAAAGGCCGTGGCTGAGTTTCCTCATTGCTGCCCATCGGCCTTCGCGTAGTTTATGCGCCCGTGACTTTACATATGTAAATATGTATCTATGAGACTATTGGAAAGTTAGACTCCCGAATCCCATAGTCTATTATGACTTAAACAGACGTTACCTAGCTTTGTAGGGTCATTGTGAAGCACTGGCTTTGTAAATGGATCGCGATGCGCAATCTCAATGTGAACCGCGATTCCCAGTGAAGTAAACCTTCGTCAATTAGATCACGGGGACCGAAACTGATGAAGCAGCTGCTAGATTATTGAAACAATGCAGACTAACACGACAGTGCCAAAATCAGTCTGGCTTTACTGGCCTACTGCTGCAGTTTGTTATCAAGTACGGACAACTAGACGATGTTCAGGCCACATTGTGCTCACGCGAATGCAACAGAACTGTGCAAGCAGTGGGCGATTTTCGTTCGTCGCTCATTTTTGTCGCTTCGTGTAGCACAAGGCTGATAAAGCGATGTCGGGTTTGGCGGAGTAATGGCAAACCACACCATTCCAATAGTCCATCAGTTACATAGGTTCACGCACACATCCACACAAAACATGCGAATGCCAATAGAGGGACATGGGAACCTGAATGATCGGCTTTGACAGAGGTGAACGATGCCCATCATCCAGAGCAGGACCTGCACAATGGCGCAGTGTTTGCACAGTTCCGTTTCATTCGCGTCAGCACAATGTGGCAAGAACATCGTACAATCGCTTTACTCCCCTTTGTTTGATAACACCGCTGCAATAAAGCTAGAGTGCGTTTGGTGGAGTTGAGACAACCTTCACTGTTCCAACAGTCGTGTGGCTGCATAGGTTCGTCCATACACCCACAGAAAGTAC